AGAATAGAGGATGTAAAAACAACTCCAAGCACATCGTACTATTTGATCTTTAATGAAGAGGCCAAAAACATACCCTGGAGGAAAGACAGCCTCCTTAATAAGTGGTGTTGGAAAACTGGCTGTCCACATGCAAAAGACTGAGTCTAGACCATATCTCTTACCATGTAATAAATGTTAAAACGGAAATACTTGATCTCTTGGAAAATAGGACAGGTAAAACTCTTAATGTCAATGGCACAGGCAAAGGCATTCTAAAAAGAACCCAAGTTGCACAGGAGATAGTACTGAGAATGCCATTCAACCCTGCTATTCCTGTTCTAGAAATCTCCCCAAAACAGTTAAAGACATCATATTGCAGTGATAGATGCACGTCCATGTTTATAGCAGCACAGCTCCTAACAACTAAATCTTGGAAGCAGCCTAAATGTCCATCAACCGATGAATGAATGATGAAATTGCAGTATTGAAATGCAATGGAATGTCACTCTACCATAAAGAAGGATAGATGAGTCATTGGTAGGAAAATGGATGCACCTTGAGATCATAATGTTAAGTGAAGTAAATCAGCCCTGTAAGTTTTTTTTTTATTTTATTAATTAATTTATCCCTCCTCAGGTTTATTTGTTCAAAGAGCACAGGAGGACACCAGCCCCCCACAGATGGCACCCCAGGGGTCACACGAGTCCTTCTGTTTATACATCACCACATAAGAGGTTTTTACTGTGGCACCTTCACAGGACTCTGGGCGCCTTTGGGAGGCTAGGCTGGAGCAGAAGCTGGAGCCTTGGCTGGAGTCTGGGCCTTTGGCCAGCAAGGCCTGCGACCCTTGGCAATGCAGGCACAGATACTCTTCCCAGGCTTAGGGTGGGCAATAGAGACAAGCCGAGCAAGCCTGTGGTTTACTCCCTTTGCAATGATCTTGGGCTTGACCTCCTTGGGCTTGACGAGGGTCTTGATAGCCTCGGCACATGCACTCGTGGCCTTGGCATTGTTTGCTTACGTCTTCTTGAAGCCCTTCTTGTTGTGCTTCTTGGCAAAATGTATGTTCCTGAGGAACTTGGGATCTACCTCCATCAGAGATTCATATCTTTGTGACTGATATTTCTTGATGCCATTTCTTTTTCTTTTTCTTTTAATTAATTTTATTGAGAAACAAATAGCAATGAGACAGTTTCAAAATCGATTAGTAGGAGAGTTTCAATAATTAATACACTGCATACTGTTGTCTTCTTAGTGATTAGTCATAGTGTAAGATGCAGACATGATATCCTGTCCACAAACACTATTAGAACAAATCTTTCTATTCATTGAATTAAGAGAAAGTAGCTGTATATCTATCCTATTTTGAATATACAGATATAAAATGGTTGTTCATTCATATCCCCCTTTTTTTGTTCAGTTTTTTCAGAGAAGGGTATTTCATTGTCATTTCAAGATTATAGGTATGTGAATTCAGCAAAATATTCCAATACAGTCCAGTAGTCCATAATAGCAGTGGGTTATCCATAGGACTGGCAATGTCCGAAGTTGTTTACTTGAGCCTTTTATAGCTCAGCATATTAATATGGCTTTACTTTTTATACCTTGTTTTTGTATTTTTCAGCTGGATGATTAAGACTAAGATAAAGCAAGACCTATATAACAAGAAATGTATCTTTTGTATCTGATAAGGTCAGTCAAGTCCCCTCAGGATTTATCCTGTTACCTTGAGCCCTGTAAGTTTAAATATCACATAAACGAAACTAAATATGAAGAGCAAAACAAAAATTAGGTAATAAGAAGGAGGGAGATAGATCTTTCTAGAATAGGAAGGGGTAAAGAGATAAATAAGGGGAGAGGGAGAGTAAGGAGAAAAGGGAAGAAAAACAATGATGATGTGTTGGTCCATACACCAATTCCACACATAGAATGGAGACATAATGTACTGCAAATATGAACTAAGAAAAAATAAAAACAAAAAATAATAAATAGCAGAAGAATGTAGAAAACCAATCAAGCGTATGATCTAATCTAGTTTAGGACTTCTGTTTAATATTTTATGATAGTCCTACATGAATTATTTAGTTACACAAACAAACACAATTTATTAAATAAAGTAATAATTACAATAAATATTCAGTTTTAGGTAGTAGAAGTCAAATTGGTTTTGTTTGCATTTAGGGAGATTAATCCATTCTTAGTTATGCTAGAATTAAAAATGGTTTTGATTTATTTAAACTACTTGATTTGTAAGTGTTTTAATAGCAGAGCGATGAAAGCTGTAGCAACTATAACGAGTACGATAGTTTTTAAAAGGACAGAATCTGTTCATGAGTTTTCAAATCATTTTTTAAAGTGAGGCAAGAAAGTTTATAGACTTTCCAAGGATGTCTGTTCCTGCAGTTGTGTATGGAGTTTTTTAAAAAGTAATTTAACTTTTTCTTCTTGTAAAAAGATAGTAATAAGTATCCACTACTATGTATGAAAGCACTTATTTTTTACTTTAATATTTATTAAGTTCAAAATATTTTACTTGATTTTCAACAACTTACCATTTTAATTTTTTAGTACGTTGTTGTTGTTATCCCAAGAATTGAACTCAGGACCTTGCACTTGCTAAGCAGGCACTGTGCTGCTGAGCTATATCCTCGGTGCAATGTTTTTATTGTTAAAAAGAACATGCTTAGTTGAATAGAGTTAAAATTTTTAAATATATTCTAAAACATTTGTAAAACACTTCAGTGTTGAAATCAATTCCGAATATGGTGGCTATCTAACAAAAATGAATTTTTTACACATTTTGTAAATCTGTTATTTTAACTATGACCTTAAGTTGAAATAGCTAAATTGTTTTAGAAAAAGCTTAACTTGAGAATGATAAAGGAAACCACACCAGATTCTAATGGAGTTAACCATGAACAACAATGCTTTCTTAAAAGTATATTGCTAACACATGCTTTCTCCTGAAATCTAAAGTTACATACTTTGTTGTGGCATGGTGTCACATATCCTATAAGATTCAATAAATCATTTTTGCTATAAAAAATAAATACTAAAGAAAACACCCTTAAATTTGCCCCGATTAGCTAAAAGGCAGCCCAGCAGCAAGTCCCTAGGAGTACTCTGTCTGGTTCTCACATTTGGTTCTTTACCAGATCAAAAATCTGGACTTGCTGCATTTTGGCTACAACAGCTCCAGCAACCACGTATCACAAGCATGAGCCCTTTCTGTGATTGACTGATGGATTGATTGATTGATTGATTGATTGGTTGGTTAATTGATTGATTGACTGATTGACTGAACCAGGGGTCAAACTCAGGACCTTGTGCTTACCAGGCAGGTACTTGTACCACAGAGCTATCTCCCCAGTCACTCTCAGTATTTCTAAGAAAAGTAGCACAACTACACAGACTCACAAGAAAGATCATCACAATGGACTAGATTACAATAACAGGCAGTACAACAAAAACATCAAGACCAATATTTTCCAAGATGAGCACACAACCAAAAAAGTAAGCCATGAATCACCTGCACAGACACAAAACCAACAGAGATGACAGCATAAATCAAATACAAGCAGGTCTAGGAACTCAGACCACTATTCAGAAAATCCTTTTCCAACTGTAAAAGGCTCATTGCACACATGTCAAACCAAGCCACATTGCCTTAAGAACTGAAGAGGTACAACCTGTCTAACACTCAATTAACTCTGAGTAACCAGGCCAGGTCTGCCACAGCCCCAGTGCAGATGTCTATGTAGGACCACAAACACTGTTCAGCATCTCACTCCACCCTCTCTGTAATATCTTAACACATAAATAAGGCTGAGGGCCTCAACCACGCTTCTGCACCTAAAGTCCAATGTGCACCTAAAGCCAGGCTGTCACACAACAACAAATTTCAGTTAATTTTAGCCAAATTCCAATATCAGGTGCTCCAGGAAATCTCTCTACAGTAAGTGTAGGTAAATTCCCCAGAAAGCACATTTCCAAATTAATAAGAGGGACCCATTAAAAATACTAGGAATCCTTAACTATGAAACAAACAAAAACGTCTCATGAGTCAAAAGAATAAAAGGAAGGAGGAGGAGGAGAAGAACAAGAGGAAGAGGAAGGCAGTCAGAAACAGAAATTGGACCACAGGACAGAAGATTGGGGTGGGTAGAGCCACATAGGTGGAAGAGGGCCACACAGCCAGGCTGGCCAGGATGGGGACCTTACCAGTTTGCCTGACACTAAAGCAAAGATTCAGGCAGCTGCTGGACATCCATGAGGAAGGTCTGTGCTGTTCATCACCACTGTCTGCCTTCTTCTTGGGGACCATCAAGGAGTTCTCATCTAGTTCACCAAAAATGTTACAAAGCAGCTTGGGGTTCTTTTGCTTGATTCAGATAGCAAAGTGCTATCCACACAAATCCACAAAGCACGGCTCTGCTGGCATTCCTGATGTCACCAGATGACACCAGAGAATGGTGTATGCCAGCAGTTGGCACAGCCAGCTGCTGGTTTCTGCCTCTGCCAGCCACCGCTTTCTGGAGCTGGCTTGTAGTTCTGGTTTCCGCTGCTGACCTCATTGGTTGCTGGCCTTGGAGCTCTCCAGAGCTAACAGCCCCTCATGTTTACTGTGCTTTCTTTTGAACTGATTCCTCTGTCTGTACTACTCAGAACACGAATCTCAAGCAGATTAACAGGACTTTGGGAACCCATTAAACCCAAGAAATAGATCATGAATGGTATCCAGAACCACTAAAACTGGCAAACAGAGACTATGAACAAAGAAACAGTAAGCGAGGTATTTGCTATCAATCTTTATTTATATGATTGTTCTCTGGGAAGCACTGCATTTCCAAAGCTAGGCCTAAGGCAAGTGGAGTAAGGCACGTAGGAAGAAACCAGAACTACAAGCCAGCTCCAGAAGGCAGTGGCTGGCAGAGGCAGAAACCAGCAGCTGGCTGTGCCAACTGCTGGCATACACCACTCTCTGGTGTCATCTGGTGACATCAGGAATGCCAGCATGCTGTAGCGAAATGCTTTCGCCATAAAAAGTTCTATTCCTTGTGCTCATTTGATGCAAGGTACTAATAAGGTCTATGCGTGCAGAGCAAAAAGAAGAAAAAGTAAAATAAGCGAAGGCCAAGAGTATCAGGCACATGAAGAAGACACGCACATACTCTACGCATTCAACCTCACGTCGACATGATGGAGCAGCCATCCGTGTACAGCAAACCACCTTGGACCGTGCAAGTCCGCGGCGAGTGCCCGACGCAGTGAGAGGGTGCATGCGCTTCCAGACCAAGTATGTCGCTGAGTTTATAGGGAAACGTTTGAAATGTTGTTTCATGCTTTGAAATGTTGCTTCATAACTTGAAATATCACTTCGTGGCTTGAAACATTTCTTCATGGTTCTAAAAGAAAGGGAAAATATTAGGGCATAGACTGTAAGAGGGAGACAGAGAATGCTTACCACATATTCATTATGCAGCATTGGTAAGGAGTAATATCGCCTTTAATTGATAAACCTGCCCTTTGTGCTATAGAACAAAGAAAGAAAAGCAAGTTTTTCTCATGGAAAATCAAGGCACCATTTCTAACCTTTCTCTGTACCAACCCATACTACAGACCAGAAGGAAGTCCAGCCCTCCAATTACATTTTCCAGCGTGAATTTCCACAGGAGACAGGGAGGTAAAACTTATGGAGATTAGTGCTGGAAAGGAAAATTTCAACAAAATTCACGTTTGACACCAGAAAAGTAATCTGGACAAGGCAGTGATGATTTTAAAAAGCAACAGTAGGGCTGGAGAGATAGCTCGGCAGTCTAAGTGCCTGGCTGGCAAGAGCAAGGACCCAAGTTTGATCCCTGGTACCAGATGCTGTGCCAGCCCCAGAAACCGCGGGCACACCTTGCTGGCCCCAAATTCCTATTATCCCAGCTCTGGGGAAGCTGAGACAGGAGCATCACCAAGCGGAGTAGCGAGACCCTGTACGAAAGAAAGAAAGAAAGAAAGAAAGAAAGAAAGAAAGAAAGAAAGAAAGAAAGAAAGAAGGAAAGAAAGAAAGAAAGAAAGAAAGAAAGAAAGAAAGAAAGAAAGAAGAAAGGAAGGAAGGAAGGAAGGAAGGAAGGAAGGAAGGAAGAAAGAAAGAAAGAAAGAAAGAAAGAAAGAAAGAAAGAAAGAAAGAAAGAAAGAAAGAAAGAAAGAGTAAGTTGGGTCAGGCATGTAGCTCAATGGTAGAATGCTTGCTCTGCACTGAAAGAACCCTTAGTACTGCAAAGAAATAAACCTAACAAAATAAAGAATTACTCAGTTCTAGATAAAGATTTCTGGACAGTGAAACCCCGACTCACAAAAACAAAAACAAAAACCAACAAAAGGGTGTCTGGCTTTGAGATGTAAGTATAGAGGTGATGCAAAGGGAGAGGATTATTTCCTTGGAAAACCAACGGATTGCTTTTGCTGTTGACTGCTTTTGTTGTTGACGTCATCCATCAGTATGCAGACTAAAGGTGTGTTTTCTGGAGAAAATATGTGAGAACTGAGTTTTCCGCAGTTCATACCAAAAGCTGTTTGTTCCCCTGCTCCTGGTCTCATAAGGGGATATTTCGACAGCCCACGATAGGCCTTTGGGAGAGAGAATTCACCCTTCCACACTGTGCATAGTCTCCTGAGATAGCACCCAAGATTCTGCCTCAAATTCCAAATACCAGAAATATAAATTTTTCATAGTTCACTCATCACTACGCTCCCCCTAAAATCATCCTTTCAAATAAAAAATAACCTGGGTGTAGTGGCACACACCTTTGATCCTAGCACTCAGAAGGCTGGGGCAGCAGGATTTGCTGTGAGTTCAAGGCCAGCCTGGGCTACACAGCAAGACTTTGTCTCAAAAAAGCTGAAATAATTATCCTAAGCTGCCTTTCCAGAAGAAAAAAAATCATTGAGGAATTCAAAACTTTTTTTCAAAAAAAAAAAAAAAAAATCTT